TGCCTTAACATTTAGAAATTTTAAAAGTTTAAGGTGTATCGAGAGAGTTAGTTTTGTAGGATGGGAGATAGTTTAAGCTCTTTTTGTAGTCCAACAAATAATAAACTTTTATGAATGTTGAAAAAATGCAATTCTTAGAATTGAAACATAAGTATAAAGATATGAGGCATAACTTTCTTTATCTATTAATAAGTTTAGTTATAAATTTTTTGTCTGACTTCCATACTTTATGATATCTACTTCATAAAAAAAAAAGAAATTAAAAAGAGATGAATATTGAAGATTAAATAACATAATAAATAAATTAAATAAATTTAATATATATTTCATTTAATATGATTGTTCATAATAACATAATTTTCATTTTTGTTTCATATCTATTAGCTAAAATATTGATTTTAAATGATAATTTATATATAGTAATGAAATTATTATTTTCATTTCAAATTATTACTTTTGAAAATAACACATATACAGAAAAGAAAGTGAAAATCTATCTAAGCAAAAGTTATGTAAACTTACCTTTCTCTTTGTCATGATGGTTACATGCACATATCATCGTTATGAAGATCTTTAATTTAAAAACTATCAAGAATATGAGAAGATATGTATGTAGTTGATAAAATATTAAGGATTTATTGAAAATTTATCAATCTTATCCCACTATTGAAACCATAGTAATTAGCACACATGAGTTTTGACAGATCTTTATTGTAATAGAAATTTCATATAAGTTTCTACTTCTAGATACATACAAAAAAAAAATTCAAGATATTGTTAAGAATAATCTATGAGATATAGTAAAATATTCAATATAATACCTGAATTTTAAAATTTTCTAATATGGTACCTAAAATATAAATTTATTAACTAATATGATACTTAAGGAGTTATTTATGTATCATGTGTCACCATTTGGAGTTAGCCACCTTAAAGGTGAGTATTATATTAGTTAACAAATTTATAATTCAGATACCTCATTAGAAATTTTTAAAATTTAGGTACTACATTGAAATTTTACTATAGTTCAAAAACTATTCGTAACATTAATCCAAAAAATTAGTATTAGAGATTTAATGTCAAAGTAATAGAGCTCATAAATATCTATATGTATTTATTTATTTATTTAAAGTTCCTTTTCAAAATAATTTTTTGCCAAAAAACACCTTTATTTAATTAATAGAAATGAATCCTTCAATTATTTTATCACCGATCCTTTTATAAGTTTTTAGTGATATCAAACATTTTAAAGAATGCAAATATAAACAAGAGATAAAAAAAATTATTATTTGTTTGATTTAATATATTAAAAGCAATTTATTCTCCATTTATTTATCTGTAATGATGGGTTCCTACACAATAAATACAAATATTAAATTTTTTTATCTTTTTTTAGTATAAATTAGTTTAAATAAAAAATTATAACATGAAAAGTCATCGTATTAATTTCAATATTTACAAGTATTACTTATTTTTTAGTAAATTAACATAAAAAAAAAGAATATGAAAAGTTATCATATTTATCTATATATTGTTAGCTCAAAAATTTGGAATAAACCAAGAGGGGGTGAATTGGTTTTAATGAATTTTCAAAAATAATATTCAATAAGCACAAATTTTGCTAAACAATTAAACATAATAATTGCAAGTAAATAAGAGATAGAGATAAAGAAAATAATACCGCGATTTATAGAGGTTTGGTCATTCTTTAGGTACCTACGTTCTCTCCCTTAGCCTCTTTTACCAAGAAATTCAATCCACTATAAGTGTTGAAGATTACAACCAAGCTTCTCTAAGCTTTACAAACTCAACACAATATACTCTTAAGGGTTATTCTCCCCCTTAAGCTTACAAACTCACAAAATAGAAAAATAAAGTGTTTTGCAAACTCTAAGAATCTCACAAAGGTTTGGTGTTTGCTAAGTTAAAGTACACAAAGGTATAGACAAAAGAATGATGAATGAACAACAAAAATAGTTTGGATACAATAAATACAAAGATATAGACTTTGAAGCTCTAAAAACTTTTGATTATTTGAGATAATGAAAATATTGCTTCTTGACTCTTACTCTCTTCATTCCTCTGTCTTTTTGGTATGTTAGAGTGCCCTCTTTATATAGAAATTGATGAACTAACTGTTGGGGAAGCTTGGAGTGAAGAAATGCCCGTTGAAAGCATGAAAAAGTAGCCGTTAGAGCATTATGGGCAAGAACCAATTGATCTCTTCCATGAGAGGATCGATTGGTTCATGTTTTGAACCATTTTTCACTTGAAAATTGCCTAACCGATCGATCCCCCTATGTGGGGGGATCGATCCCTTTTCTAGAAATTCAATCCTAGGGCATTCTGGTTGAAAACCAATTAATCCCTTCTAGAGGGGATCGATCCAGTCCATGCTGGGCAGTAGTTTCCTGTTTTGTACTTTACTCACTAATTTGATCATAACTTGAGTTATACAAATCCAAATTACAAACCATTTAAAGATTTAGAAACTAGACTTAAAGGATCCATATAAAGTTCATCACCTAATTCACTGTGTACGAATTATAGTGAATTTTCAAAGTTACCCATTGTGCAGTTTTTCTGACAACTGTAGAATATCTAGTAAAAATTTAAAATCTTTTCTTAGAAAATTTGGATTTTGATTTTGTTTGATCCATTAGAAAGTAGACTCAAAGAGCTTTCCAACCATATAAAATTCAAATATTAAAACTTTATGAATTAATACAAAAAAATAAAACAAATTCAATATTAGAAAATTATGTTCTTGTAAAACAGCTTTCTTAAGTTAATCTATGTCTCAAAACCAATATTGTCAAAATTGTATTAAGTCCAAAATGAATAAGTTCACTTTAAAAACAACAATTGGACTTTCATTTAAGCTCAAATAAATAATCTTTAAAAGTAAATTTGGTTTAAAAAATATGAAAACAAAGAAATGTTTGTTTAAGCTTTGAAAATCATATTATTTATTTAGTACCAAAATATAAAACTTAAGAACATGTACTAAATAAATCTTTTTCAAAATCTTGATCAAATTTATTTAGCTTTAATATTTTGTCATTTCAAAATAAGGATCAATTCAAGGCCAACCTATATAAAATTAGGTTTTGAACAATAAATATACATATTAATGATGTATATATATTACATATTAAGTTATTAATTCAATATTTATTTGAAGTAAAAAGTAAAATGTGAAAGGTTAGAACTAATTTTTCATGTTTTCACATTTTAGTAATTAATGATTTAATAATAAATATTTAAAAAGAGAAAAAAATATAAATCAACTTTTCAAACTTTCATAATTTTCTACCACCTAAGCAAATTAAAATGATAGAAAAAGAAATTTTATAAAATATTATCATATTAATTTCAATCTTTTCATAATCAATTTATTTTTAAAAACTTTTCATAATCGACTAACAATTAAATTTAGAAAAAATGAAAAAAATACAAAAAGTCATAAAAAAATATTATATTAATTTTAACAAAAGGATCAAATTACACAAGTATAAAATTAATTTGTTTTACACCATTTTATAACTTCATATATGATAAATATTTTTATAAACCAACCATTAGATTTAACAACCTATTTATACCTATTATTCACATAATGTTTCAAGTCACTTTAATATTCTTATAATTTCGATCGAGAATAATATCGTTTCAATATATACTATTGATTAATATTTTATTATTATCACACAAATAATTATATGTTTTAAATTTACTTGAAATTTGGCATGCATATTTTATTTGAATAGCGTATAAAATTTAATGGTTGGATTATCAAATATAAATCATATAAAAAAACATGAGATGGTGCAAAACTAATTTAATTTTACGAATGTCTAGGCAAATCCCTCTTTATTTTGGGTTTTCATATTTCATTATTTAATGATTTGAAAATAAATCTTTGAAAAGAAAAAGAAATATAAATCGGTCTTATTCGAAAAAGTTTTCATATTTTACAAATTATTTAAATTTAATTAATAATAGAGAGACGAAAAGTCACAAATCATTATTATATTAATTCCAATCTATACATATTCCATGAATTAACGATTTTAAAATAAATCTTTTAAAAAATAAAAAAATATAAATAAATTTTATTGATTTTTCACTTTTATTTCTTTTGTAAGTTTTATGATTTCATTGGTCTTTGATTTTAATTTTTTTTGTTTCTTTTTTTAAATTTAGTTTTTTTATTTTAATTTTTATTTCAATAAAGAGAAACTTTTTGTGATTTAAAAAACTTACATGTCTATGTACATATGTACGCATATATACATATATTTATATACATATATATTATTTAAATATTTTTAAAGATAAAAGACTAATCATGTGAAGTATAGGTGAAAAAACCTAGTGACATTTATATCTTCATTAGTTTAGGTAAATTTTAGATGTAAGTTTTAAAAGGAAAATAAAAAATGTAAAAATATTTATCATCCAATCTCATAATAAGAGGGTAACTGATCATTGTTCTTATCTAATTATCTTTTTTTAGGGTACAAATAACGATAATTATTTTATACTATTTATTATCTTTCGCACTAAATATATTATTTTTTATTTTTTATAATTACCAATATTTTGTTGATCTAAAGAATAAAATCTTATTTCAAAAAATAAGTTTGGAAAGTACAATTAGAAATCCATAAAACAATTCTATTACAATAAAGGAAATTACTTACAATACAATCATAAGTTTTCAATTACATTTTTTCGACTTAACTTACACACCAAATTTTCACTTTTATAGAATCCAAAAAAAAAAATTTTAATATGCTACAATTTTAATAAGGATAGCATAATTCGAATAATGAAAGTGTCGATAATATAATATTAAACTTATAATTTGAATGAATATAATTTAAATATTAATAATCTAAAATAATGGGTCAAACTCAATCCAGCCCAAATATATATTAAAAGCCCACTAGAGCCCATAAAAATCCCAAAGTGCTAGGGTTTCACACAACTCAGGATATATTACATCATTTTCGTTTTTCTTTGTTTCTCGACTTAGGGTTTCTACGAGGAGAGAATCAGAGCCGCTGCAGCCGTCGTCGCCATGGTGAAGTTTCTAAAACCCAACAAGGCCGTGATCGTTCTCCAAGGCCGATACGCCGGACGCAAAGCCGTGATCGTGAAATCCTCCGACGAAGGCACACGTGACCGCCCCTATGGCCACTGTTTGGTTGCAGGGATAAAGAAGTACCCAAGCAAGGTTATCCGCAAGGACTCCGCCAAGAAAACAGCCAAGAAATCACGCGTCAAGTGCTTCGTCAAGCTCGTGAATTACCAGCACCTGATGCCCACGCGCTACACCCTCGACGTGGACTTGAAAGACGTGGTTACTGTCGATGCTCTCCAGTCAAAGGACAAGAAAGTGGCTGCTTGTAAGGCCACCAAGGAGAGGTTTGAAGAAAGGTTCAAGACCGGAAAGAACCGGTGGTTCTTTACTAAGCTTAGGTTTTGAAGGGTTTGTTGGATTTGTCGTTAAAAAAAGTTTGAGATTTATGCATTGTCTTAAACATTTTAGGTTTAAAGGCCGGATTTGAAACTGTTTCAATGAGATATTTCTGGGTTCTTGTTGTTATATGAAACTACGTGATTTGCTTACTTCTGTTAGAAATTTATTATGTTTTTCAACTTTTCTGAGTGATTCATGATTTTGTTGGAGGATGAGAATTAAATATTATCTAAGTGATTTAACATTGCTGCGTGATTTGTTAGTGAGTTTTGCTGCTATACTGAGAGAAATTTTGAGAACTTGAGAAATGGTATGGTTTATCCTGAGGTGCATCTTTTTATCTGATTGGATATGATTTTTCTTTGATTTTAAAGTGTTCGTGCAATTTAGTTCTTCAATCTTTCATTTGTCATCTAATTGTGACTATTAGTCTGTTGATTTCCTGGTTTGGATCTATTCTTGCGTTTGTAAGTTGCTTTCTACAAGAATTTAAGCTTGTAGGTATTAGTTGTACGAGTCATTAGATTCTTATTCTTGAAGTGTGCAGCATGACTAGCTTGTGTTCAAATTTTGAATTTAACACAATAATTTACTCAAATATTGTTCTATATTCTAGTGTAGAAGTTAGGATTTAATTGGATTTGTTTATCCTTTGTTTCTTTACGTTGAAAGTTGGTCTGCTATTTTAAACACTACAAAAGCTATGGGAAAATTTTGAAATTTTAGCAAAAGTTGTATGAGTTTGGTCAAAATAAAAAAAAAAATTGCTTTTGTATTTGATGTACACAAATTTCACTGTTGTGTTTATACGTGTTTGATGCATGAATATGATACGGAAACACTAATTGCCTTGTGTAGCTGAAAGTAACCATTGGTTTCTTGTGCTAGCTGTGTTATTCATTTTGTTGTTTAATGTTTTACTTTTTTAGATTTCCTTCATTCTTGTAAGGCAAATTGGATTTTTGACAGATTTTCTGATGGCACAATATATATAAGTGGGTTTGCTACGCTTGTTTGAAATTGCAATCTGAGCTTAAATTAAAAGACTATTTTAGGATTTCTGGTTTCTGGAACTGAGTTTGTTATTCTAATGATAGATGCATCAGTTTCTCATGCAACAGTAGGTCTTGGTTGGCTCGCTCAGATTGTTTTTTGCATTGATGATACATTTGTGGGATTTAAACATTCCTTTCAAGCTGGAATTGCAGTGGTATCTTCTTGTTAAAAGATGATTGCCTTTATTTTTAACGCGCTTGAATTATGTTGTTGGGCTTGATTCCTTTGAACTATTTTGTAGACTTGATAATTCTTATATCCGTATAAAATATTAATATTTTTTGTATGAACGATATTTGTTAAAATTTTAGTATGTGTTATAATTTGATCAATATAAAAATATAAAATATATTTTTTTAGTTTTATTAAACTTATATATGATATTTGTAAAAGGTTTAGATAATCAATTTGTTTTTTTTTTTTTATGATATGGCAGTATATCCGGGTTTAGATTACCGGATCCACTATCCGCATAGATTGTAGGATAGTTGTGTGTGCAATCGCATGCATAAACAAGCTTTCACATTTCGATACTAGAAAATTAACTCCGTTTGGTTCGAGCCCCGGTGCCTCCAATAGTTGGACTGGACTAATGGCTTCGGTGGACTTGTGGCTCCAGCAAAGAATACCCCAAAATATCTGTCCGAGCTTTGATGGAACCCGTCCAAGTCTGTCCCATCCATTAATAAGCCCAGTCAAAATTAAAAAAAAAATTAAAGTATAATAACAAATAGATGATGATAAATTTCATTTTAATCCTTTTTGAAAGGGCAATCCACTTACTACTCCAATTCCTCATGTTCAAAGGAAAAGCCCACTTTTCTCTTTTTTGTTTTTTTTTTGTTTTTTTTTTTACCCTTGGTTCTTTCAAATTTAAGCTTATTTCCTATTCAAAAATAATGATAATTTTGAAGGAAACAATCAAATTGATAGATGTTAAAATTTATATTAAAGTCTTTTGAGAGATATAGAAAGAAAAGATTTTTACATTAATTAATTTAAGAATTGAACAATAGAAAAAGGGAACTCATTTATATCAGTTTCTCACAAGATGAAGCTGATACACTATTAAAAGTGGAAATAAGTTAAACATGGTGTTGCAGGTCACAAGCAAAAATAGTACGTAGGTCATGTTGGAAGAACATTTGATCAGCTGAGTTTCCTAACAAAATCAGAACGTTCACTTGGGGAGTTTATCATGAAATCCTTCTTGTTATAGGAAATCTACTTAGAAGGAAGTTAAATGTGGATGGCAAATGTTTCAGATGTGCAGGAGATGCAGAAATAGTTCTGCAAGCACTCAAAGACTGTAGACATGCAGAAAATGTGTGGCACCAGCTGAACATTAATCTGAAACATTGCAACAATGTCACTGATGGTTCCAGCTGGATAGAGCAGGTTTGCATATCTTTTAACCAGTCACAATTTCAGCTCTTCATGGTTGCAATGTAGGCAAGAGGAATAAGGAATTGCATGAGGGAACGAAGAGGAGTATCGGCTGGAATTTAACGCTCCTTAAATTGAACACAAAAACCAGGTTAGCTGGTCTGAAAGATGGATTCCGCCTAACACAAATATGGTGAAAATCAACTTTGATGGGGCCATTGATGTCAATAGCATGACAGGGGGAAACAGGTATTATTATAAGGGACTTTAAAGGAGATGCACTAGGGGCAACTGAAGCCAAAGATCCTCTCACAGTGGAAGCAATCACAGCAACCAAAGCACTGGAATTTGCACAGGAAATGGGCTTCAGCAGCATTATACTTGAAGGAGATGCTCCGGGGATCATGAAGAAACTAAGTCATCAGGACCTGACATGTCTCCTATTAGAATGATAATTGATGAAGCCAGAGTGAAGATGTCATCACTTTATACCTATTCCTTATCACATACCTTACCAACGGGTCATATGGTTGCCTTTAAGTTTGCAAAATATGGGATACAAGTTGAAGCTGATGACTTCTGGGTTAAGGAGGTCAGTAAGTGAGGGATCCAGGATTTTTTCCCAGGGTGTTTAATTATTGCAACGGATTTCTGCTGACTTCTGGATCTTAAAGGACTAGGTTGAGTGCTGGGTTTTGAATAGTGACATTGAATGGAGTGATTAAAAAATTAAAAAAGATGTGTTCAAAAAAATTGTGGATGTATCTAATGGAAAATTTTTTGAGATGTCTAAGATAATTTAATTTTTTTTATTTTTCTTATTTATCAATTCATAGATACCCAAATATTCATTGGCATCCGCCTTTACTCCTATTGTTGTGTCACATTTACTGATGAATGTAACCATATTAATGAATGAAATTATCCTTTTATTCAAAAAAAACAAAATGAAATCTTGATTGTAGAAGACTCTTACTTATAGTAATAAAGGATAAGTCAATTAAAAATATAAAAATAAATATAATTTATTATATAAAATATTTTAAATTTTAAATAAAATAAATCAAAATAATTAAATGTAAGATACATTAAATTATTTAAAATTATCTTCATGTTAAAAAGATAAACCATTCATTTTTTTTTTGTTAAAGATTTTAATTTTTACCTAAGATATAATTTTAATTTAATATCTGATATCTTGATCATAAAAGTCTCTTACTTAAAGTAAATAATATAAATATAAAAAAATCAATTAGAAATGTAAAAAAATAAATATAATTTATTAAAAATATTTTAAATTTTAAATAAAATTAAAATAAAAATAATTAATGCTTAGAGTTGATAACGGATCGGATCGGGATGAATTTTTACTCGCTCCAAATTAAACTCAATTTTATATTCATAAAACTCGAATACGATCCGATCCAATTTTTTTTCATATTCGAATTCGGCTCAATCCGATATTATATAAATTATAACCAATATGATTCAATATGAAATTAATAAAATATTATTTTGTAAAATATAAAAAATTATTTTTTAAATATAAATATATATAAATAAAAAATTAAATTAATAATTAAAAAATAATTTTTATATAATATCGAATCAAATTCAATCGAATTTATTTAAAATTTAAATTTAATCTGATTTTAATTTTTTTTAATAATATCAATCTAACTCGAAACTTAATTCTTGAAAAGAAAAATGGATCCCATAAAATTTAATCAAATCAAAACCTGTAAGACGGATTGGGCTTCCAATCTTATTGATGTCGAATACAAAACCATTATTCGAGATTATCTTTTAGTAAAAAAGTTAGATCGTTTACATAAGTTACTAATACCATGAATTATATATTATATTCTCGAATGAATGACAGCCTCATTTTTTTATCAAGTTATAAGAGTCCCCTTCTTTCGATACAACCATAAAATTATAGAGTAAACAATTACTACGATAAAACAACTATTCCATCTCCTAACAAACATAACATAAAGACAAATATTCATCCCTTTAATTAGCTTAATTATTATTTAATTGATTAACCATTTTTTATTAATTAATTTCATTTTCAATCCCTAATAATTCTTTTTTTTTTATTTTTTTGGTAAGAAAAATCCATTTAATCAAACGGACTTAACGACAGCCACCCTTTTACCTAACAATCATCATATTAAATGATTTTTGTATAAGAAAAAAAGTTGTCTCCCTTTTTTTGCCTTGATAGAGTTTTTTCCTTCAGTTTCTCAGCTCCCAAACACGCCCGGCTGCTTTCAATCTCTGACACTTCTGCACAAGAGAAATTTTTGTTTGTCCTTCTCCTCAAAAAGAGATTTGTCCCTTTTCCCCCAAAAGTTCCTCATCTTTCGAATCTATTCTCTCTCTCTCTCTCTCTCTCGATTTACTTTCTCTCTCTTAATCGATAATGCTTCAAAGCCTAGTTCCTCAATCTCCAATCAAGTCCAACCGTAGCTCAAATCCTATGTCCTCAATGAAGTCAAAGCGCGACGATAGAGACATCTCCGCCACAAGCGTCGACGATTCTTCCGCTGATGATCCTTCAACTAAGCGTCCTAACTTCTCATCGGGCGACAAAACTGCCATCGATGAACAGGAAGAAGCGGTCATTGAAGGTGAGTCAACGGTGTTAAGGCTTTTAGGTCTTCTGCTCCAATGCGCCGAGTGCGTCGCCATGGATAAACTCGAGGACGCCACCGATCTTTTACCTGAAATCTCTGAGCTCTCTTCTCCGTTTGGTTCATCTCCCGAACGCGTCGGTGCGTACTTCGCACACGCTCTCCAGGCGCGTGTGGTGAGTTCTTGCTTAAGAACCTATTCTCCTCTTGATGCCAAGTCGCTTACCTTGACTCAATCCCAAAAGATCTTCAATGCTTTGCAATCTTACAATTCGATAAGTCCATTGGTCAAATTCTCTCACTTTACCGCCAATCAAGCTATCTTCCAAGCCTTGGACGGTGAGGATCGTGTCCACGTCATCGATCTCGACATCATGCAAGGTCTCCAATGGCCAGGATTGTTCCACATCCTTGCATCCCGGTCCAAAAAGATCCGATCAATGAGAATCACTGGATTCGGGTCCTCCTCGGAGCTTCTCGAGTTGACAGGGAAAAGGCTCGCTGATTTCGCGACTTCTTTAGGGTTACCGTTCGAGTTCCATCCGTTGGAAGGCAAAATTGGAAATGTAACAGATCTGAGTCAACTCGGGGTGCAACCAAGTGAAGCTTTGGTGGTTCATTGGATGCATCATTGCTTATACGATATTACGGGCAGTGATTTAGGAACGTTAAGATTATTGACCATGTTGAGGCCGAAATTAATCACGATCGTGGAACAGGACCTGAGTCACGGTGGTAGTTTTCTAGGGAGGTTCGTGGAGGCATTGCATTATTACAGCGCGTTGTTCGACGCGCTTGGGGATGGATTAGGCGTGGACAGTCTCGAAAGGCACATGGTGGAGCAGCAGCTGTTTGGGAGCGAGATCAGGAACATCGTGGCAGTCGGTGGCCCCAAGAGGACGGGCGAAGTTAAAGTGGAGAGATGGGGTGAAGAGTTGAAACGGGTCGGATTCCAACCCGTATCATTGGGTGGAAACCCGGCCGCCCAAGCTAGCCTTTTGCTGGGGATGTTCCCTTGGAAAGGATATACCCTGGTGGAGGAGAACGGGTGCCTCAAGTTGGGGATGGAAAGATTTGTCTCTGTTGACCGCCTCAGCATGGCAGCCGTCCGATTGAAATACTACCAATTTTGTGTAACTAAAAATTCTAGACTCTCAAGATTTTGGTTTATAAATTCATCATAATAATAAAAACAATGGAGAAACAACTCTGTTCTCTAAATAGGTTTTTTCATTTCTTTTTTTTTTTCATCAATTTTGAAACATGGAAAGAAAGCAAAAGCTGGAAAAAAGAAAAAGGTAAGGCGACGGAGATATCATATATCTCCAACATGGTTCCCGTCAATGTGGAGGAATATCATATGGAAAATTGGTTACATGGTGATAGGATATCAATTATAAGGGCACTATTTTAAGCTGAGGATGCTTGGCATTTTCCGAATAAATTTTCCTTTTACTCCTTAATTATGACATTATGTACTTATTATGAATCCTGACATTATGAGAAATTTTAAGTACTAGAAGCACTTATTATGATTCCAGAAAATTAGGCTTAAAGCAATAGAAATTGATTGAATCCATAAGGATTCAATATTTTGTTTATAAGATTTATATTTGATTTTTATTTTCAATCAATTCTTTTTATGAATGATTTATAAATTAATGTAAGTTTTCGTTAAATTTACTATATATTTTAATTTTGATGAGATAATTTTTTTCATTTAATTTTTTATCGAAAAAAAACTTAGGCTTAGGGTTTTTCCTTCATTTGTTTTTTTTTTTTTTTGTTGTATAAATTAATCTTTTTAATTTTTCAATTTAAAAAAGGATTAGTACTAGTATTATTTAAAAGAATATATTGCCATTCTGAATTTTAGATTTATTACATAAAAATTTTAAATATATATTTTAATATAATTTATAAATTAAAAAATTTATCTTGCAATGAACGTAACATATTTTATTCTTATCTATGGTTTTGAACTCTGACAAAAGAATGTGAAATTATTGGTCATTGACTACTGAGAAGGACTATGTCCCTACTACATGCAGGTTCCAAGGGGAGTCGGTCTTTTCCTTTGAAAAAGGACAATCTACGATATACTAAAAGATTTGGCTGTGGGGGACTTAAGGGTCTGGGTGGTGGCGACAGAGTGGGAGCTATTGTTATCCTCTTGTTCTGACATGCTACTTGATTATTAAATCAAATATAAGCTTCTGAAAATGCTGACATCTTTGCTTAGCTACCAACTGAAAACGACCAAACATGACCAGAGAATGGACGTTATTTTCATAAAATTTTTATTTTTATAATCGAATTCCAAAATCACTTATTTAAAATTAAAAATTAGACAATAACCTTATCCTTGGAGACAATTTGGCGTCGATTAATTCATCAATCTTTTTACCCTTTTTTTTTTTTTTTTACAAAAAAATTTAAAATAAATAATTTTTTTAATTTTTTAAATCAAAATAAAATATATCGTATCTAATAATTTAAAATAAATAATTATAAATTATATATTTAAAATAATTCTAATAAATAATCACCAATAAAATTTAAATCTAAAATTTTTTCATAAAAATTTGTTTTTAATTAATTAAATCAACTATTTATTAATTTTTAACCCCAGTTGATTTCTCCCTTATTGTTGCGGAGGTAATTGAAGTACGGTGGCTGAATGCTTTGCTGAAAAATGATTTAGTAGCTAATTTTAGTGGTTGGAATGACCTGAAAAAATTTAAAAAAAAAAAGCATAAAACTTCTCGTCTAAGATTTTGGGATGCGTTCTCCCACTCAAAATGGGTAATTTGTATTAGATAAAAGGAAAATAGAGAGAAGGAAAAAGATTAAAAAAGAAGTAAATGTATTCGAAAATTAATAGTAGAATTAGAATGAGGTACATGTGTTTTAATTTTATCTTTTTAAGTATAGGATTGTAAACGAATACAAAATAAACGAATGAATGAGTATATATTTTAGTTTGTTTGTTTATTTTTAAAAATATTTAAATTTGGTTCGTGTTTTGTAAAAAAAAGTTATTTTGTTTATTCATTTATATAATAAATTATTTATATTCGATTTAATTAAATTAAATAAATTTATTCGTAAATATTAAATAAATATATTCATGAATATATTTAAACGAACATATTCATGAATAATAAATAAATCATAATCTAACAAATTTAAATAAATAAACTCTAAACGAATATAAATAAACTTAAATAAATATAAATGAATCTTAAAATAAAATTATGATAAAAATAAAAATATAATTTTATTAATATTATTATAAACGAATAATAAACAAAAATAAAACAAATAATAAACAAGCAAACTTTAAACAAATTTATTTATGAACATAAACAAATCAAATAATCTTTTATTTGTATTTAATTCATTTAATAAATAAATATAAAAATATTATTTAAAATCATTTATTAAATTTAATAAATAAATATAAAAAAATAAAAATAAAACATATTCACGAATAATACATCTTTATTAAAAAAGTTGGTTGATAGTTGATTTATGTTAACATGATTATGATCGGGACCAATTGAGCTGATCGCCATTTTGGTGGTTAATTGGCATTAATTGGACTAATATGACGATTAATGTGTTGATTTGGCAACCATAACATAACAATTATGAATTTAAAATTTAAAATTTTCTTTCCCCAACACCTGGGAATTCGAAATCAAGGTGACCTGTTTAGTTTACGTTTATATTAAATTTATCTAATTATATCAAGTTAATTAGTTAATTTGTTTAGTAATTTAATTAAGTAAAATTTTAATATAGATTTAATATTTGTAATTTTATAAAAAATGGGAATTGGAAAAGAAGATGGCTTCCGAAGTTAGATGTTATTAATTATGTGTAAACCTTATGATTATAAATTCAATTTGAGTCAATTACAAAACCCAAAAAAAAAAAAAAAGAATTAATTTTGACTTTGTTTAGTATTTAATTTAATTTAATTTAATTTTAAGTTATCTTTAGGTTTGCAATGAGTTTAGAGTTGGCACTTGCTGTGTCCGCATATGGACAACTTTACAAGATTCAAAGTCGTCGAGTTTTATTTAGAATAAGTTAAAAGGTTAAGAATTTATTTGAATATATATTAAAATTAAAAAATTATTTAAATGTAAATTAAATATTAAAAATTTATTTAAGTATAATAAAAATATAATAATTTATTTAAATAAAATTATAAAGTTTAAGAGTTTTTTTTTTTTCAATTTTAGCCAATTTTTTAATCTAAATTCGAAACTTAATTAATGTGAATTGAATCTTAACGACATTGAAAAATATGCATGTAAAATCAATACATATATATATATATTCTTAATTTTATCATTTATATACTACTTTCTAACTTTCAATTGTTTTTGAGAATTTTATTAACTATTGGTATGTGATTAAATTTTAGATATCAGCTAAGTAATTCATATCCTGCACTCATATGAAATCACAAAAAAATTATACAAAATTTCTTTTTATTTTCAATTTGTTTTTCCTTTTAAGTCTATCATTTTCTTGAGTTGAGTGTTAAACAAGTTTTGTAAACACTCTGAAAGAGCAAATTTGTAGTTATCCGGGGACTAAAATGTAAAAAGTAAAACTCTTTTTGCGAAAAAAGACTTTTCCTCCATTTGTTTTCCAATTACAGAAGAAAAAATATTGAAAATAAAAATCTCCCTCAAACCAACACAGTGGCTAATCTCGCCATGAAACCTCGAACTCAGCAGGCAGCAGTGAAAACCCCACCCAACTTTGACATGTCAATAGGGAGGGTATCGGACGGTAGAATATTTTTCATTTCTATATTTAAATTTTTATATTATTTTTATTTTTATTCATATTTAATGAATATTTTAAATTTATTTTTATTTTCATATGAATATTTAAAAAATATTAATAATATTTATTACTCTTAAATTTTTTAAAAATTAAAAACTAAAATTTATTTTTTATTAGTATATATTAATATATTTTTTAATAAAAATATTTTAATTTTAATTAATTTAAAATAATATTTATATTATTTAATAAAAATTTATTTATATATATAAAGTATGAATATAAAATTAATATTTTAATATTTATCTCAAATTTCGTATCTAATAATAATTTAAAATTATATTTATCTTCGTCTCATATTCATAATATAATATTCACTCTCATTTTCATTTAAAAAAAAAATTAAGTTTTTTATTTGATATAAGTAAAATTGACCTCGTCAAATTTGGGTCAACACAACCGGTTCCCCTTTCCCAAACCGGTTCATATAATTAGATGAACCACCAAAACCAGCAAAAACAAGTTCTTATAATTCTAGCTAAATTTTATTGCTCCGAGTACAATGTAATATATCTTTTGTTAGTAGAAAAAATAAAAGGGTTTGCTCAGATGGAGTTGAATTTGGTGCCTATATCAATTACAAAGGAAAAGCAAGAACCTGCTTGGAACCATTTTCAAGTGTTTAAAAATGGGGAAAGACTGCAAATTAAATGCATGTATTCTGACAAGATGTTTAAAGGGGGTGGGCTTCACAGGTTTAAGGAACATCTAGCCCGTCGAAAAGGTCAGAGTCCAAGTTGTGAACAAGTTCCAACGGGGGTTTGGGCTCTTACGCAGGAAAGCTTAAATGGGGTTTTAGTGAAACAAAATAACAAAGCAAAGAACAGTTCCTGGATTATTGGCCTGTGGTAGTAGTGGTAGTCCATATGTGGGCGAGATAGAAAATTCTGCCTACATTGATGATGTTAGCAATGGGATCAAACCCGTTTCAATTGTGAATTCTTTGGAACTTGATTCTAATTTGGAGAAGTCAGTCAGGGAAGTAGAGCTAGTCGGAAAAGAGGAAGGAATAGAAGTTTGCCAACAAATGGTGATTCTTGTGACAAAACTGATCTTGCATTGGATTCAAAAGGGGTTGAGGATCCAGTTCATATGGCAATAGGGCGTTTTGTGTATGACATTGGGGTGAATTTGGATGCAGTGAACTCGGTTTATTTTCAACCAATGATTGATGCTATTGCGTCTGGGGGATCACGGATTGTACCCACTTTCCTGTCAAGACCAGAGGTGGTGGATATCAATCGGTAAAAAGCAATGTGGCGGAAGACAGTGTGTTGTATTTTAGTTGAGCAATGGAGCTCGAAAACTGGCAGAACTTTGTTAAATTTTTTGGTATACTGTCCTCAAACAACTGTGTTTTTGAAATCTGTGGATGCTATCTGATATTATTTATTCTGCAGATCATCTGTATGAATTGCTTAAGCAGGTAGTTGAAGAAGTAGGAGTTGAGAAAGTTGTGCAAGTGATCACTAATTGTGAAGAGCAATATTTTTTTACTAGAAAAGGTTTAATGGAGTCATTTCCTTCTCTCTATTGGGCTCCTTGCTTAGCTCATTGTGTGGATATGATGGTTCAGGATTTTGGGTAACCTTGAGTGGATTAATGAAACAATTCAACAAGCTAAATCTGTCACAAGATTGGTCTACAATCAATGGTGTGATTCTGAATACGATGAGGAGATTTACTTTTGGCAATGACATTGTGGAACCAGCAGTTACTCGTTTTGCTACAAACTTTGCAACACTGAAAAGAGTGGCTTATCTTAAGCTAAATTTGCAGGCTATGATTAACTCTCAGGATTGGTTGGATTGTCCATATGCAAAGAAACAAGGGGGTCTAGTAATGTTAGATATTATTAGAAATACGTCATTTTGGAATTCATTCATCTTGATTGTGCGTTTAACATTTCCCCTTTTGCGATTTCTAGAAATAGTTGGTAGCAAGAAGAGGTCTACAATGGGATACGTTTATGCTGGAATTTACCGAGTGAAAGAAACAGTCAAGAAAGATGGTTATATGGTTTACTGGAATGTTATTGATCATAGATGGGAACCGCAGCAATCTTCCACTTTATGCTGCAGGTTTCTTCCTTAACCCCAAGTTTTTCTACAGTACTGAGGGAAAATACTTAATGATATCCTGTCATCAATGTTTGATAGCATAGAGAGATTGCTTCCTGATATGAACATCCAGGACCAAATTGTCAGAGAAATACATTTATACAAGAATGCTACTGGCGATTTAGGAATGCCGATAGCAGTCAGAGGCAGAGACAATTTGCTTCCTGGTAAGGGTTCTTATATAGAGTGGAATTCAAATTGCTATTTCCAGCTTATTTTCGTTGCTAACTTTTATGGTGATTGCCACCAATTATGGAATTATAGTTCCATTAAGGGGAAGCCACAAGAAAATAACCCCCTACACATGCCTATCACAAAGATGCATGCCTTGAAGTTAGAACTTTAGGAACCACTACCAAGTTTTCATTATTTTTTAGTGTGATTGTGTATAGATTTATGATATGCATTAAAAGATAACTCATATGCCTCTTTTGGTTTTCTTCCTTTTCTCTGAATTGAGACAATTATGATATTTAACTTCAGAATTAATGATTGAAAGATTAGGAGAGAGATGTGTATCTAAGTTTTTTTGATCCATATGCCCAAACCTTTAGAGAAGACTTGTCCTTGCAACGGTATCTGAATCTGATTGCATTTTCTGTCTTATTCATCCATATTATTAGGTGAATGGTGGTCTATATATGGTGGAGGTTGCCCAAATTTGCAACATTTGGCCCCCCGAATTCTCAGTCAAACTTGCAGTTCAATCGTGTGTAAGCCGAATAAGATTTACATTGAAGAAATACATGTCACGAGAAATTTTCTTGAGCGTCAAAGACTTAGTGATCTTGTCTTTGCTCAATACAACTTGTATCTGAGAGAAATGTAAGTTGGAATACTCAACTCGGCTTTCATCTATAGGAGGTGTTCAGCAACTGGATGCTAAGGAAAATGTTGATTTTCCACTAATTTTTTTATACGGTTCTTAGAAACCAGGAAAAGGATCCTGTGGACGCCCTCTCATTTACTGGATTCCATATAGCTTAAAATGATTTCTTCGTTTGAAGAATTCATGTTTGTGGCTGATGATGCCATAGCATTTTGCCTCAGAAATATGTTAGAGAATGAAGAGGAAGTGAAAAAAGTTGAATCTGGTGCTCGGGAATAAATAGCATAGGTTTGGGAAAATTTTCTCCCCGTAAAACTGAAACTGCTATTTTCGAGTCCAGTGTTCTGCACTTGCCAACATATTGCAGGAGTAAAGCTGTGCAGTGTTCATGTTATTGTTCGAGAAAAGGGAATTTAGCTCATTATGCCAAGTTGTAGATGAACTTCCTGAGAGATGCATGCTCACTGGTCACATGAAAACCATGGCCAGAGCAATTTGTTGAGGATGACTTTCAGTCATGGGTAGTTTTAGAGTGGGGGCAACTGTTCCATTGGGAATTTCCAAATATTTTGAAGCCTGCTTCAAATGCAGAGTCTCATCCTTCTTGATTCTGGCTGCAATCACCCGTTGTAACTTGCATTTTTCATATCTTGGTAGATGAAAAAGTAAGAATCACCTGTTGCAATGTTTTTCCAGAAGAAATTTCAAGTTAATTGTTCTGTTGTTCCAATCCATTAATCTCCAGAACTGGATCAGTTACATGCATCTTTCTTCAATCCATTTATGCAGGAACTTTGCGAGGAGATAAAAACCAGAAACTTGTGCAATCCAATCAATTTACTGAATACAAACTTGAATGATGATACATAAACCAACTATGTTTGACAAACAGGCAAGGGAAGGAGTGAAAACAAGTTCCCCAACCAACATCAAAATCTGAGCAAGAAAAAATACACAAATTTAAGCTTTACCATTCTGCTGTGCATTACTTATATGAAGGAAAATGGAAAGAAAAATCAACAAAGGGGGCAAAATCAAGAAACACAAACCTAAACTAATAACGCTTTCCAAGAATAACACCGATGATCACGGACACAAAGGCTACTCCCAAAATGAACTTTAAGGTTGTCAAAGGTGAAGCTTCAGTGTGGGTAACTGATGAAGAAGAGGAGGCAGCTTGCACAGATGCTGCTTCCAACTTTTTCTTACTCTTACGGTTTGATGGTGTTGAAAAAGTTAATCCATCAATATCTCTGGATTTCACCTCTACGCCATCCTTCAATTTGGCCGCATTGCCATCTCTCTGCAATACATGAATTAGGGTAAGCAACTTTCACATTTTCAAGAAAATGTAACCAAAAAGATCTTAAATAAGTGTAGTTTTGAGTGCTTAAAAATTGTCAGGAAGAGAGCACTCTATATTGGTTGCTTTTCTCCACTAAGAGAATCTATTAGAATAACAATATGACAGGAAATATTTATCTTGATGTTTCATTAAAGGGCAGCACAAATCAGAGCAACAAGAGAGGTGGGAGACTGGGTTTTTGTGAATTTTTCCTTCATTAATCACTAAAGAGGAAAATTCCATGCTTAACTTTAAAACCTCTCCTTATTCTAAAACATATCTATTCATATTAATCTCAAGTGACATACTTTCCAAATCTATTAAAACATGTTTGTCTCCTGTTTCTCAAAAGCTCAAAAGCTTTTCCAAGTGAAAACAATAAAAAATATACTTCTCAGAAACAATTACATCTAGTTATCAATTTTTAGCTTTTCTTTCATGGCTTCCTCTGCCCAGTTGAGGAGCATTGTCTGACCTACTTTGAGTGTGTGAAGTGTAAGTTAAAGGACTGGGCTATAAGAGATTAAAAAAAGAACTGACCTTCACTTTAGCTTCTGCCAGTTGCAATTTATCTTCTAACTCTTTGACCTGCTTCTGGAGAAGTAATGCTTCTTTATTTTTGGCTTCAAGCTCTTCAAGGGAACACTTTAAAGCCCCTTCTCGTTCCAACTCTTTCTGAGAATCTGCCTCTTTCTGTTTGTTTGACATTTTTAACAAAGAACAACAAATGGTTACTCTTGATTCCTTAGTACTGTTAATTTCAAACATGACAATGATGATAAATCTTGATTCAAATTCATTATTAATTTTGGTATGAAAATATCTTTCGCAGTTTAAACTTGATGTAAGATAGTTGTGAGAACTTGTATTGATTATCAATTCATTATACAGAAAAAGCATTGCAAAGATGCCCAATCAATTGTTGTCTGAGCCTAATCATATCAAATGTTGATATGAAGTACTTGTTAATTTATAACGTCTCTATCACTGATATTTTGAGCATGATCCTCATTTTGAAGTTAATTCAGCCTCTCTTAGAGAAGCAGCTGTCTTAACACTTTCAATCTACAAGCAACAAACCAAATAACCAGAACAGATCATTGGCATTTAATATGGAAAAAAAAGTCAACAGTTAGTTTCCTTCTTTATTAACAGAGTATAATACCTCTTCTTTCGGTTGAGTTTCAACAGTCACTAACTGTTCTTCAAGTTCTTTGACGCGAGTTTGTAACAAGGAACTCTCCGCAAACCCAGCCTTGAGATTTCTAATCTCCAATTTTAGAGATTCTTCGTTTCCCTTTTCATCTTTCAGTTGCTCTTCAAGCTGTAATATTACTGATTGAAATTCCTTCTTTGTATTCTGATGTGTTTCATTAAGCAGGTTATTCTCCTCCATTAGTGAAGAAATCTGTAACATCCAAAAGAATTTTTAAAGGAACTTATAACTACAAAAAGGAAAATCATCATACTGTTGTTTATTAAGATACTAGTAAAATTTCAGCAAACCTGAGATTGTAATCTCTGCCCTTCAGAAGTAATCTGCTGTGTTAAATCTTCTATAGCCTTCTTTGAATTGTGAAGTTGTTCAGCTGTTTCATCCTTCCCTGACAAGGCTGCAGCCAGCTTTCCCTCCAAATCACTAAGTTTTGACTCGTATGTGGCAAGTTCTTGAGTCAGCTTCAAATTTGCCTCAGCTAGTCCCCCACTCTCCTTTTCAAAGTGAGCTGACTTGGATTGCAGTTCCTCAACCAAGCTTTCCAGCTGCTTTAATTTTACAAGTGTTTCTTCCACCTCAACTTTTCGAGATACAGCAATTGTAGATGCTTCATGAGCTTGTTCTTCATATGTTTTAATTTGGCCTTCAAGCAGATTCAACTTTTCAATCAGGTCATTGGCTTCCGATTCTTTCTTAGTGTATTTCTCAATAGCTTCACGTAACTGTGCTTCTGCTTCCACAATTTGAGATTCCGCTTCAGCTCGAAGTTCTGAGGCCCTTGTATGCTGATCTGATAATTCTCTAATTGTGTACATATGTGAAGAAATTTCTTGAGCAGTTACTTCCTTCTCAGAAACAGCTGAATTAAGCAATTCCTGAAGCTCATCAACTCTGCTCTTGAGCTGAATGTTTGTCTGAACTAAAAGTTCATTCTCTGAGGAAGACTGAAGCTCTTTTTTTTCCACTTCTGATATCTGTTTTTTGAGTTCTTCATTTGTGCTTTCTAACGAAGCCAGTTTCATCAAACTCTGATCCAATTCTTCTTTTAAAGATGCGGACTGTCCAGCCGCTTGAGCAACCTGTTCTTCATATACCTTTATCTGATCTTCAAAAAATTTAAGTTTCTCAAACAAAGATTTCACCTCTGAATCCTTGTTGGTGAAGTTCTCCATCACTTCTTGGAGTTTAAGCTCTGAATCCCTTGTTAGAGAGTCATGGAATGACTCAAGCTCTAAGTTTCTGGCGCTAGCTTGCTCCAATACTCTTACATGTTGCTCTAGTTGCTCTTCAGCAGATTTTAGCTTTTCCATTACCCCACTTTCTCTCAAGCCAGCAGCCTTAAGATCATTTTCAATGCTTTCCAACTTCTGTTGTGTCAGACTTAAATCACTTCTCAAGATTTCCACCAGATTTTCTGCTTCAGCAAGCTTTTCAGTGGAGCATTGGGATGTCTCTTCTAACTTTTTCTTCTCATCTGTTGCTAAATTTAAGCACTCTGTCAATTCCTTTTCGTTCTCATTGGCCATTTGCACTGCAATTTCAAGGCTTGATGTTCTGGCTTGGAATGCATCAAGCTCAGATGCAAGTTTAGATATCTTATCAGAGTATCTAGTGGACTCAGCTTCTGCCTCTGCACATTTCTTTTCTAATTTGCTTACCTGTTCTTCAAGTTCCTGAATCCTGTACTTTTCTGCTTCAAGTAACAACTCCAACTCATTGACCTTCTTATCAGCACCCACTAATTTGGAATGAGAGGTCTGGAACAGATCCTCTAGCTCAAGGCTGTGCTGATGACTCATATTAGCTCGGTCCTCGTGTTGAGCACTTTTCTCCACAGCAATCTTCAACTCCTTGGTGAGCTCTAAGTTCTGTATCGTAGACTGATTTAGGGCTGATTCTAGCTGATTTACCTTCTGCTGATATTCCTGCATTTGATCATTCAGCAGTTTCTTTTCTTCCTCAACCTGTTCCAACTTGGTGGTAAGTTCAGATATTTTCCCTGAGAATTCCTTCAGTTCTTTCTCACCTTCAAAGCCTTTTAGTTCTACCAAATTTAATTGTTGTTCAAGCTCCAGATTCCTCTGCTCGGCTGCTAGAAAACGTGCCTCTAGATCCCTCAGTTTCAATTTTGCATCTTCTGCTGCTTCATTTGAAGCCCGAAGTACATCCTCCAGCTCAAGATTTTTTTGAGCAGCAGTTGCTGCAGTGGCTCCAGATTCACTATGGAGCTCTTCCAGAGATTTCAATTTCTGCTCGAGCTCCTCATTATTAGACAGAGCCTGAGACAAAAGAGAATCAGTTTTACAGAAATTCTCATTCGAAATCTTCGATTTTTCTTCAAGTTCGCTGCACAACTCCTTCAACTGTGCTGCATTACTATTGAGATCTGACATGGCTGTTTTTAGAGCTTCTTTTTCTTTTAGCACTTTACTTAATTCTTCCTGTACAATCGAGGCCTGAATTTCTTGGTTCTTCAGCCCAGCTTTAACCAATTCCCTTGCTTTGACTTCCTCCACAAGTTTCAATTTGATATCTTCCAACTCAGAGACCTTTGCTTGAAGATCTTCTTTAGTTGCACAAAAGATATTCTCTAGAGTTGAGATATCTTCCTTCACCTTGGATTCTGAAGCCTTTTTCATGTGCAACTCTTCAGTCAGTTCATTAACAAGAGCTTCCTTAGAAGTAAGTCTTTGCTCCAAGTCCAATACTACTGATTTAGAAAGTGACAATTCCTCCTGAGCAGCAGAAAGTTCAGCTGTTGTGCTTTGAAGTGCTGCATCGACCTTCTGATTTTCAGCAACCTTCTCATACAGGTCCTTCACTTCTTCCTTGAGGGAGGCCATCTGATCTTCCATTTCTTTTGCACTAAGTTTTGCAGTTTCAAGCAATCTCTCAAACTCCAAAGCCCTCTGTGTCTCAGACTCAGCATGTGAGCCACTTTGTTTGTGCAGTTCTTCAAACTTCCGTGCCTCTTCTACGGAACTCTGCAGATCCCGCTCCAACTCTTGCATCCTCTTTCTTGAGTTTTCAATCTCCATGTTGAGACCATCAAATGCTTCCTTTACTTCAGCGAGTTCATTCTGTTTTGCCTCTTGAGCTTGCAAAGCCTCTTGGAAATTGGTTAGCTGTGAACTATATCTCTGCTCAGCTTCAATGATCTGCTCTTGCAATTTTCTATGACTGAGATCAAGTTCATTGTACTTCTTTCCCCCTTCATCCAACTTCTTCTTTGCAACCAAAACTTCATCCTTCAGTCTGCCATTTTCTGATTCAGAATGCTTTAATGCTCCAGTCACCCTTTCCAATTCAAGCTCGAGTTCCTTCATCTTTTCTTGTGCTTCAAGTAGTTCTCTACTTGAATTGCTTAAGCTTCTTTCCATGATGGTTGGCTCATTATCCAGCAAGGATGCAGGCTTAGCCACATTAGAACCATCCTTCATATCTAAAGCTTCCTTCTCTACTTTAACGAACTCTCCATCAAAGGTGGTTTCTTCCTTTTCTTTCTTTCCGTCCTTTTCTACTTGCGGCAAGTCTCCATTGGAGGCCTGCAATGCATCATGCCATCACCATTAGAAAGAACTGCTAATTTGACTTATAAATTCAAGTTCTCCTAATTTGGAATGTCATTATAAAGCTTGGAATAAATGAAGAAGAAATGACCAAGTCAGTATGTGGGGGAAATGAGTTGAAATAAATTAAAAAGTCAACATGACTGATTAAAATTGCAGAAAATAGATATATGCTATCACCTTAACAGTGTCCTCAACAGCTTCCTTCACTGGGATTTCAGTGCTTATTAGGTTCTCTCCTTCCATATTTAAATTAAAAATTGTTGTTCTTAACACTTGTTCACCTGTGATCATTGAAGTTCACAATTCAGAAATTAAATGAAACAAGAGAGAAGGCATGTACTAATTTAGAAATGAGTTTCAGTAGTTTAAAGAAAATTAACGAAGATTGTTCTAAAGCCATTCCACAATTATTATCCAGAAGAATAAAAAAAAAAAAAAAAACACTTCCAAAATGTAGTCTTGAAAGAAATTATGTCGTTTGATGTTTAAGGTAATATCATGTTCCTTATGGTTGATAACACATCATAACATTTTACATGCATGCTAAAAGGTAATTTCATGCATTCAGAGCATTTGACTGAATAACAGATGCATGCAGTGCAAAGCCAATAATTTTATTTAGCAAGGGTGTAATTCAATTTTACTAAATTATAAAGAAATTATAAATTATAATACTATTTAAAACTAAAACTTTCATATCCAATCATAATTATTAAAAGTTTTACTATTGTTCTTGACATGGTTTTATATTTTTAAAAATGTTATATAATAGTTTAGTTATCAATACTTTTAAATACATCACACTTAAGCTATCATTTAGTTATTGATCTTCCATTCGATTACTCAAATCAGTTTCAAAATATTTATGGTTAGAAACTCCCTACCATAACAATGACAACTAGTAAAATTAATGCTAGGCTCAACAACAAATAAACTGATCAATAGAAACTCTGAGCTTTATATAGAATACTTCTAATTTTAACATTTTAAAATTTTTTTATCTCAACGGAGGCTAAGCCCCCTACTAGGTCCCATAAGGTTCCGTCCACATATGCATGTATCAAATGGATTCAAATACTTTTTCTTCAAATCTATACATCTAAACATAATATTAAAGTTGTCCCTATATATATATATATATATATATATATATACACATAATATTAAAGTTATCCTCAAGAGACAACTTCTTAATTAAGGGGCAACTCAAGATGTCCAATTATTTGCCAATATGTTTTTTTTTTTTCTTTGGAAGGATAAAGAATAGAAAAAGAAAGGAAGAAAAAAGAAAAAAAGGAAGAAGGAGAAATAAATAATAAAAATAATTCTTTGAACTTTTTAAAATATAATTTTTAGGAAAGTTGTATTTTTTAAAATTACTATTAATTAAGTATATGAAAAAATAATGAATATTTAAATAGTGGACACTTGCTATTAGACAAGGCATCGTGAAAATGGATTCTGAATTTAATAAAAGAAGCATGAGATATATCAAAAAACAAGATGTTAGTATTAGAAATTATAAATCAAAAAGAGATTTAAGCCAAAGCTAATTTTATTTCTTTTATGAAAGAATCATGCTAGATTATTCGAAATCAGAATAGAGAATAAAATAATGGTATTTTGTGTAAATAATGTAAATATTAAAGTGTTTTAAGTGTTTTATTCGGAGGATTGTAATTTAAGACAGTTGTTATTTGCATCTTAACATTTACTCAACACACTTTATTAATTTTAACACCCTCTTTTTTTTTTTTTTTACTTATTTCACCTCACACTTTAAATTAAAATTTACCAAAACACTTAAACATTCTATCTCTTCTCCCCCATACCTCATCTTTTCTCACTCTTCCCAACTGTAAATCTTAAAAATTTGAAGCTAAATTTAAAGGAAAATTCCCCCATTTGAAGTTAGGGCTTAAGTATTTTAGTGTGATTTGAAACTTACGAAAATAAATTTTCGAAAGCTTTTAAAGAGAAATGAATGTCCAGAAGCCTTTAAGAATTTTGGAAATAAAGATTTTTGAAAATCAAAAAATGAATTTTCAAAAACTTTTAAAGATTTTCAAAAATAGATGCATGAAACCTTTTAAAGCTTTTGAAAATAAATTTTCAAAAAATTTTAAAACTTTCTAAACATCTATGTCCGAAAATCAACTTACCTGATTGTCATCTCTAAAGCTTCATTGCTGCAATTATCCCTCTCAAATTCACTTTCAATTTTGGTAGTATACAAGATATTACAAATTCTAATTGTGAATTTTGACAACAATATAATTTGTTACCGAAAAAGAAGTAAAAAAAAAAAGCTACTACTAATCTAGAAACAAAAAAGAAAAAAAATGTGAAGGATAAAAAAAATTGATTAATAAGTATTTAAATAATTTCATTAAATATTAAATTTATAATAAAATTTTTAAAATATATTGAGTAGTTCTTGAAGTGCAAATAAAACCCTCGTTAAGATTCTTTATCATTTAAATTTTAGAAAAACTTTAACCCTTATTTAAATTTTGGTAGTATACTAGATATTATAAATTGTAATTGTAAATTTTAACAACAATATAATTTGTTACTGAAAAGAAGTAAAAAAAACTACTACAAATTTAGAAAAAAAAAAAGAAAAAATGTATGAAAGATAATAAGAATTTAAATAATTTTATAAAAAATTAAATTTATAATAAAATTTTTAAAATATGTTGAATAGCTTTTGAAGAACAAATAAAACCCTCATTAAGATTCTTTATCATTTAAATTTTAGAAAGACTTTAATCCGCCTTTTCCAAATAAAACAAAATGCTTTAATGATTGCCAGGTAAGGGATGAACAAAAAAGCAACTTTTTCCTTTTTTTAAATCCAAATATAAATAAAATTTTCAAAAATTTATAGTAATATAATCAAATTGTTTTTTTTTAACCATTTTAATAATATGGATTTAAAAAATTGAATCGGAATTTCAATTTTTAATCCATTTAAACTATTTATACATATTACTACTTTTTTAATGTGTTTCGTATGAATAGAGTAAATTAAATTGACTTATCGGCTGCATTACAAGAATAGCAAAAAAAAGGAACAATTTGAAGCAAAACTTTCGAATTCAAACGACACAAAATTACCTAAAATGTAAAAAAAAAAAAAGCAATGAGAGAGTGGTCCCATCAAAGTAGGCAGCCTATCAATTTAGCTTAATTTTTTTTTTCCATATCATATCTTATCATCAAACTTTTTCTTTTCTTTTTTTTTTAAACTATAAAAGAAAATAAAATGAACGCGTGCCAGCTGAATTTCTAATTCAAGAGCTAGGCCCCTGCCTCTCTCTCTCTCTCTCTCTCTCTCTCTTTCTCTCTTCCTGTTGCTTTCATTTTTCAAATTTTTGAATAAAAAATCTCAAATATAATCACTTCCGATAATTACGTAAAAAGAAGGAGAATTGCTTTATCAAAGCAAACTTCCTATTTTCGAAAGACTTAATCATCACATAGTTTCCGTAAGAAATGATCAGATTGCAAAATATTAAAAAATATATTCTTTAAATTTTATAAAAAATAAAAATTTTGCATAATTTACTAGAAATAAAATATATGATTTTTTTTTAAATACTAACCGTCGGTGAAATTAAAAAATTTCACCCAATCCTAAAATTAACAACGGTGAAACCTCCACTTTATTTTTATTTTTTTGTTTTTGTCTTTTTACTTCTGCCAACCTGGTAAGAAGTTAAATTGTCAATTCAAGGAATCAAAAACTGTTGCAAGTGGAGTGCAACAAGTCAATTTTTTATTTTGTCCAGATCAGTTAAAAATTGTTTGCAGATAGACAATTTTTTTTTATTATTATTAGAAGAAAGGAATTCTATACGTTATAGATTCCTTTGAGATCTAAAACACTTCAAAGTTTAAACCACTTGAAGACTACTTAACAACTCACACTAGAAAATTATAAAAAAATAATAAAGTTAGAACAGTTTATAGTTTTTGACACACTTCTATTCTAAATACTAATTTGCAAAGAAAACTAATTAATTTCCAGCAACAAACCAACGGAATGATCAAACGAAGAAACTGGTGATAAGATCAAGATCAGGATCATCTTGTGATGACCAAAATCCATACTCCATAGTAGTCTGAAGAAGTGATGAAAGAGTTGCTGTTTTCTTCCACTTTTTTTTTTAATAGAAAGTGGAAAATCATCCACCAAACATAATCTAAGTTATATCAGATCATGATGATCATTGAGTTTTTATGTTTGTCAAAAGCATATAAAAATCATGGACACAACACAAATTCAAAAAAAATAATAAAATATTATAAAAAAAAAAAGAATGATAGAAGCAGAGCAGAAACACTCGCAGAAAATATAAAAAATTATTAACGTACATAACAAGTGATGATAGAAAAGAATCATCAAAAGAGAGATGAAAAGGGATTCTTGCCTGATGAGAAAAGTTGGAGAGATTTGCTTTGCTTTGGCTTGCCTTACTATTTCTATAAGCGTGTTCTATTTTAGGAATCTAAGAAGAAAACAATGGTGAAAATTTGAGAAATGAGAAAGAGAATGGTGAAAGACAGAAGTAGAATGATGTGGGGAGATGAAAGTATTGTTAAAGACAAGAGAGAGAATCTTTGATATTTAAAGTGAGTAGGAATCCACTGAGGTATAAGTGGGCCTCATTTTAACAACCAATACCACAACAACCGAGTCCGAACGCTTCCCCTTTTCCTTTACTATTTTGCCCATACATTTCTCTTAAACTGCATTCCATACCAATCTCTTTTCTTTTTTTTTTTTAATTTATTATTTTTTTTTCATATTTTTTCAATTTATTAATTACCATTTCATTTTTTCTAATTTTATGCGCTTATGATCTCTCTTATTACTTTTTTCTTTTTTTTAATTAATATTATTTTTAGTATAAAAATAATAATTTAAAAATGAAAAATTATTGTAAATATTAAATATTAAATTTACTTAATATCATTTTTATGAATAATAATGTTATTTTTCGACAATTGAATAGTTCCACTATTACAAATGATATTATTGTTACTTAAGTAACAAATTTATGAATATTTATTTTTTATGAATTGTGAAATTGCACATTTTAATATTTCTCTTTTATTCAATATGTTTATAGTGTGCAAAAAAAAAAAAGAATATCTTGATTTATTTAAAAAAAAAAGAATATATTGATTTTTCCTGAGTGAATATCAGATTTTGTAGTTGTAGCAAATGTAATTATTACATAAACAAATAATTTCGGGAGAATCCACAATACTCATACTCACACCATTTGGCTAGTGCCTGATGCTAATGAATTTAATCGGAGCATTTCATTTATAACAATTATAATATAATTTAAAATTATATGAGATGTATCATAATTTTATGTAAATTTTATATTTATAAATAATAAATTTTTATATAATTTTTTATTATAATTAAATAATTATAATATTATAATAAAAAATTAATAAGTGATATGCTTCAGAATAAAATCAAACATTTTACCTATTTTTTTTATTGTAAAATGTAATAATTTTCGAATCGTAACACCATCTACGAAACCATGAAAGAGAAATATTATTATATGACCCAACCATGCCTTCTGATAATATTTTTGCAATGTAAAATGGTCATTTAGGTTATTAGAAAAAAATAAAATTAAATAGAAGAAAAAACTTCACTTAATCAAGTTTATATAAGATAAAAAGTTTAATATCTATAATCTCTTTTTTTTATTTTTAAATTATGATTTTTTTATAGGAAAATATTTGTCTCCATTTTTTCCTCATTTCAAAAAATATATTGCATTATATATTTCAAATTTCAACCCTAAAGCTCTACTTCTATACCAAAAATAATAAGGCAATCATTGGCTCTTGATCTAAAACCCTATTAAAAAAGGTATTAATTGGAAATTTGTGACTAAGCTGGTTCCACCATTCTTTTTTAAGGAATAATTTAAAAGCATCTATGGAGTTAAAAAAAAAAAATACTATATCATAGTAACTTCGACTTTTTCTTACAAGGTTATTATGGTATATGATTTACTAAATCATATACTACCTCCATTTTAAATTATTTGGGTATTATTAATATTTTCATAGTTAAAAAAATTAATTTTAATATATTTAAAATTAAGTTTTACTTTTTAATAAAATTAAAATTTTATAATTTTTAATGTTAAAAAAAAAAATCATAAAAGAATTTTTTAATATAAAAAATTTTAAATTTTAATTGTTTAAAAAAGCAAAATATAATTTTTGGACATCTCAATAAAAAATTGACAACAAAAGAGCTTAAGGGAGTATCATAATTTAAAAGCATCAATGAGGCTTGTCTTAGTTTAGTAGTAAAAATGAGGTCTTAAAATCTTAGATTTTAAGTTCAAATCTTAATTTATATGGGTTTAATTATTTAATTATATTTTAATTTATTAATTAATTATTCAATAATTATAATTTAATTATAATATAATAATTAATTATATAATTTCGAGTATTCAAAACCATCTACAAATGAGACGATGAGAGTATCATAATTTAAAAGCATTAATAGGCTTGCCTTATTTTAGTAGTAAAAAGGAGGTCTTAAAATTTTAAGTTCAAATCTTAATATTATGTGAGTTTAATTATTTATTTATATTTTAATTATTTATTTATTTAATCATTATAATATAATTATAATACAACAATTAATTATATGATTTCGAGTGCTCAAAATCATCTGCAAAGGAGACAATAATATAATAATTAATTATATTTTAATTTGTGTTCTTAAAAAAGTATTGCTAATTAATGAGAGCTAGAATATGTAGCTTTTATTTAATGATAAAAATTAGGTAGCATTTGGAACACATTAACAGATATATGCTAGAGTTACAGCCTAAATGATAGAAGATATTACTAAAATTAAAGAAGGTCGCAACACTTTAAAATTTAGTTTAAGTTTTATTTTTTCTTTTGATTTTAGGACAGTTAAGAATTAAATCTTAATCAGTAAAATAATTTTTTCAAATATTTTTTTGTATTTAAATTTATCAATGATTGAATTTTGGTAACCAAAATTAAAAGTTTATACTCTATCAATAAATTACATTATTATTGGCACATTTTTTTAATTTAAAAAAAAATTAGGTGAAAGAAGATTACCTTATTTGATATTCAACATATATACTAAATTTTAATGATAGCTTACATTGAACTTATAAATCATTCATAAAAAAATAATTGATAACAAAAATAAAATGTTAATCTTACAAACAAAAAATTCAGTCTTTATCAACTTAACCAACTTCCACTAACACCTTTAAAACATTTAATCAAAGAGAATCATAGCTAAATTTTATATTTATAGTAAAAAGTGAAACTTTTACTATTAAAATCTTATCCCATATTAAAAAAAAAAAAAAAAGAGAGAGAGAGAGAGAGAGAAAGTAAAATTTGAAAACATAAAAATTAAAAGTTAATAATATCGTATCGAACATTTTTAAAAAATTATATATATTGGTATTAGTTGTTTTGATATATTATTTTAAATTTTTTATTAAGTACAAATATATTTATAAATATAAATGGATTTGTACATAATACTACTATTAATAATTTGCATAAATAAATATACAATATCTTAAAAAAAACAACTAAATAAGTTTAAAAGTGTAAGAAATAATATAATTAATTTATCACGATATTTTTAAGTAATTAATCTGATTAAATGATATTAAAATAAATATTTTGTCATATAAAAATTTAATAAAATAAAAACAAAGAGTTAAAAAAATTAACTTTAGTTTTAGGATTGTTAAATTTTAGTGAGAGAGTACAAATATTTTCTTTAAAGAAATTAAAATATTTATAAATTTTAGTTTGAAAAAATAAAGCGTAAAAAAAATAAGTTGTAGTAAAAAAAAATAAAGAAACCTAAATTTCAAGGGTTATTTTATCCATTAATTTTATTTTGATTGAGTTAAAATAATTAAATAATAAAAGAGAAATTATAAATTATAAAAAATATTTTATATTTATATATCGATAAAAAAAAGTTAATATATCAAAATCAATAAAAATAATCTATATTATTCGATACTAAATTTAATATCAAAAATTATTTTTAAATATATCATATTTTAATATAATTAAAATATACCAACCGATATTATCGATACTGAAACAAAACTAAAATAATTAACAAAAACACCAAAAGAGGTGATTTTTTAAACGACTTCTACTAGATGGAATGCAAATGGGTAATTCTGAAAGTAATAATATTGAAAACATTGTACATTTAGTTATTTACTAATAGATCGGTCAATAATTTCATAGAAGTCTCTATAACATGGTAACTTTTAAAAAATTAAAATATAATTCAAAATTTCAAAAATTAATTCAATATAATAATAATAAAAAAAGAATGGTGTTTAGGAGGCTTAAGACATGAGGAAGGATGGATTGGTCATTGGACAACATAGAAAAATGTATGGCTGCTTTTTGGTCTCAAAGTTATGGCATAGATGACCGGCCAAACCGCCCTTCTATGTATGCAAAGTTGAAGGACGACTCTGTCGTGCTTTGGATGACAAAGACATTTGATCTTTTCCTTTTTTATTTTCAATCTGTTATCTATTAGATAATAAAAATAATTTTATTGGATCCCTGGATGTTGCTTAATTTATAGTAGTAAATTTTGATTTTTTAAAAAGAAATAATAATATTAAGTATTTGTATCACTCAATTGAAAGAATTGAATTTTGAGTTGGAATTTTTTAAAAAAAAATTTGAATTCGAATAAAAGAAAAGCATAAAACAATTATATGCCTATGGGCCTTTCCTTTTTTACTTTTTACTTATACCTTTGTAAAATTTTTTTTTAGTCTCTTAACAATTAATTATGTTGGCTGGATTAAAAAAAAAAAAGAATTTAGGATGAAAAAAAAACTAATTATAATTTTTAATTATTATTTCAATTTATAGTACCCAAAAAAAAAAGAAAATAAAATTTGTAAAAATCGATTTGTTAATAAAATATTAAAATTTTAATGTTAATAATTAAAATTCAAAATTTAATGATCTCACATATTTTGATGAAAACCAAACCTTAGAGTCAAGTCTAGACACCTTCCATGCCATTCCATTCCATCCATTGAATGATTGGCTGGATTTAAATTAATGAGGGTGGCATTTGAAAGGCACATTTATATAGCCAACTTGTTCACTTTACATCTTGACTTCTTATATGATAAGAAAATTTGTTAATAAATTTTTAAAAAAATTTCTAGTTTGATCAATTTTAATCATTTTTTAATCTCACATGTCTAGTTACAAGTTTTATCATCTTCATGAATTCATTAGGAATCCCATTTTTCATGGAATATATGAATAAGACTTTCAACTACCACAAAATATAAAGAATTTCATCGACTTCAAAAGAATTTTATCTGTTTTTTTTTTAAAATGCCTCACCAAAGTGAAACACGAGAGGGTTAAAATGAGACAAAGTAAGCATTTTTAGGAACCAAATAGTTTATAATTCTTGACCAAGTCATGGCCGGCCGAACGCCAAACGACTTTCTGACTACTAAAGTTTTAAGACATGAAATTTCCAAATCAGCCGCTCCGCAAAATGGTCAACCGA